GCATGGGGGTGAGTAGAAAATGAAGGCTAATCATGTTTTGGGTGTACTATTCCTTTAAACAGGAAGAAAAAAATAAAAGAGTCTAAAAGAATAAAATTCACCAAATTTATTAAATCAACATTTTAGTTTCAGGTATAAAAAATGATCCATTGATTATTCCTTGCTGATCGCACTTTTCCTTTAAATGTTGAAAAAAAAAAATTAAAAGGAACTTTTTATATTTTTTTTTTACTGTGAGCTGTCTAATTCAGTCAATCTAAACAGACGAGCAATCATGAATGGATGAATGTGACTGTATTCAACATGTTTTAATGTAAGAGATATAAAAACTGTTAACCAAAGCATTGTTTTTGGCCTTGATATCACCCCTCTATGCTGTGAGAAATGATACATAATTAAGCTGTTTGTTTGCTTTGAAAGATGAGTGTCACACTGCTTCCTGCTTTGATTAAGCTAAGTTAACAGATCTCTGACCCAGCTTTCTGAAGGACTGGTTTCATCAAACAGCTCTGGGTCTTGTCACTTTGGCAGCTGAGATAGTTGATGCTGATCTCACTTTGGGCTCATTAAGGAAATCAAGTTGCAAAGCATAGCCAAGGAAGGAACACTTCATTTTAATTTTATAAGTTTTTTTTATCAAGCTTGCTTAATATTGAGCAAAGCATACAACCTTTATTGTATTTATTTATTGTATTTTATTTATTAATGGAAATATTTCTGTAGAATTTTGGAGTCTTTATTTTTATCCTTTTGGTATCGAAAATGGTATCGAGTATCGAATATTTTCCTTAGCATCGGTGTCGAGTTGAAAAGTTTAGTATCGTGACAACCCTAATTTAGAGTGCTTTGTTCAAATCAGCCTGTGTTTTCTTTTCATTTCAGAGCAAAGAGGTTGGAGCCCAGCTGCAGGAGGACCTGATAAAAGTTCTCAATGAACTTTACTCGGTGAGAACCCCCCCCTTTGGTTATCATCACATATTATGTGTGATTGTTTCTTTTAGGATTAGAGATGCCTTCCCTCGAATTGCTCTCTGATGCTGAAACTCCTCTTTCAGATTAGCTAATGCACCAATGCAGTATTTTTACAGGGATTATTCTCAGTAGTGAGGGATGATAACCCTGACTACAGAAGCAGAAGCATGAAAATGTATTAGTTTTCTGTCTTTTTTTATTTTTTATTGATGGTTTGTTGAAAGTTGACCCTAAAAACGTGCTCACTTCATATTACTTGGCATCAGTAGTATAGTGGTCCCTGGAGAAGTGGGTATACACTGGAAAAACTATCTAGAAATAAGTAAACATTTCTTAAATTAAAGGAATAGTACACCCAAAACATGATTAGCCTTCATTTTCTACTCACCCCCATGCTGAACAACACTCTGGAGTACTTTTTTGATATCTCAAATGCATCTGGAGATCTGGGAGGCTTCTTGCTGTCTGCTGACATTCAAATAATGGAGGTCTATGGCGCCCGAGGCAGAAAGGTCCATAAAAGTCCACAAAAAACGTGTCAATATTCCTCCATACTGCTCGTCCAATGTATTCCAAGTGTCCTGAGTGGGTAGCATCCAGAATTTACTCGAAACGAAGTCATTTAGAATGTTTTTAGAGCATAAACAGTAGTGTATAGGATTTCCTAAAAGCGCGTTCACGAGTCTACGGAAACCGCGGCAGACCAAACCAGACGAAAGTGCGCATTCAGCGTCTGCTCTGCCGATAATGCAAGCGTAGAAGAAGAAATGTGCTGTTTACCTGTGCAAAGAAAGAAACAACGAAAGAAAAATGTCTGAGGACTTCAGTGTTGAGGAAGAGCACGAGTTCTTTGCCGAGCTGAATGCGCACTTTCGTCTGGTTTGGTCTGCCACGGTTTCCGTAGGCTCGTGAACTCGCAGGCGCGCGCTTTCAGGAAATCCTATACACTACTGTTTATGCTCTAAAAACATTCTAAATGACTTCGTTTCGAGTAAATTCTGGACGCTACCCACTCAGGAAACTTGGAATACATTGGACGAGCAGTATGGAGGAATATTGACACGTTTTTTGTGGACTTTTATGGACCTTTCTGTCTCGGGCGCCATAGACCTCCATTATTTGAATGTCAGCAGACAGCAAGAAGCCTCCCAGATCTCCAGATGCATTTGAGATATCAAAAAAGTACTCCAGAGTGTTGTTCAGCATGGGGGTGAGTAGAAAATGAAGGCTAATCATGTTTTGGGTGTACTATTCCTTTAAGTGTATTTACCCTTAATTTGAGTAGGTCAATGCGATAGTCTGTCAATAGATTGAGTATTTTTACTCTACACTTACAATAAGAGTCTAAGCTCCGCAGTGAGATGTCGCTACTCGGACTCGTCTATCCGGAAGCCAAACGAGTAGAAGAGGAATATGAAGCTGAGAAGAGTAAAACGCTGCCTTGGCAATTTCTGTAATTTTGTGCTGAAAGCCCTAAAAAGAAAAGGAGACGTCGTATTTGGACAAAGACATGGCTGAGCAAACTTGGCTACTATGGTCTGTCAATTTTACAGAAAGAACTGCATTTCACTCATTGCATCCCTGACATGCTTCTGTGTTTTCATCTGAGAGGAAGAAGAAGAAGAATCCTTATTTGCCCACTGAGCGATTTGCCCACGACGGTCGACTGAATTTCAAACATGTTTGATTTTCTCCCGACCTCACGATACCTGATCGGGAGGCGGCTGTGAGAGGCTGATCACCCCTCGTTACCCCCTGTACACCACGTGACTCACCATCAGGCTGAAAGTCGGCTCGATCAAAAAATTCTCGCACGACTGGAAAGTTAGCACTACACTGAAAAAAAAAATCAAAATCTAGATAAATCAGTTTTTTCTTAAAATAAGTGCATTTGTTCTTGGATTGAGGAGGTAAAAGAGACATTTTGCCAATAGAACAAGACAATTTACATAAAAAAAAAAAAAAACACAATTGCATTGTCTTATTTCAAGTGTATATTATCTAATTATCTTATTTTAACAGTAAAAGTACTCATTCCATTGTCAAACTATCTCATTAACCTACTGAAATTAACACTTAATTTAAGAAATTTTTATTTATTTCTGGGTCATTTTTTCCAGGGCAAAAACATCATACAGTGTATGCATTGCTTAAGACACACCATACAAATTAAAAAGTCATTTGCACAAATTGACATTTTATGATTATAGTTTCTGTTAAAATTAAAGATTTTCCAAATGTATTCCACATTGAACGTATTAAAGGGTTAACATCAGAGTAATTGTTTTACTCCAAAAACTATTTGGAGTTTTGGCTCCAAATAGTGCATGATACCACCAAATGACTGAGGCCATCAGCGTGTATTCCTGGCTTTATGCTAAAGAAAACTATTTAGCTGTACTGTAGGCCAGCCAGGCCCATAAAAGCAGTTCTTATTCTCTAATTATAACGTATAGAAAGAGATAGAAATAGATTGCTCTCATAGATGCGTAGGGTGTTTTTCTGCTGTGCTGTTTGATGGTCTGAGCAGAACGGTATAATGACAGCTCTGGTGGTGGTCAATGAAATTCTGCTGACGCTGCATGTAGTAGGTGCTCACTTAAACCTTCACCGTGAGCTCACAGAGGCGCAGGCTATCTGAAAAACGCATCGATTAAAGCCTCAAATTCCTGCTTCCAGGTGATGAAGACGTACCACATGTACAACACTGACAGCATCAATGCAGAGTCCAAGCTGAAGGAGGCGGAGAAGCAGGAGGAGAAGCAGATGGGACGCTCCAGTCGACAGGAAGACAAGCAGACGCCGCGCTCCCCAGACGCGCTGGGCAGCATCAGGACCGAGGAGAGAGTCGTCCGCCGTTCCAGCGTGAAAAAGATCGAAAAGATGAAGGAGAAGGTCAGCTGGGGCGGAAGATTTTTTTTGGGGGGGGGGGAACATGTCTGCGCCTCATGAATGATATATGGATGGTGGCTAACCCTTTCTGCTGTGGCTGCACCTCGTCTTCCCCTTTCATCAATACTGAAGCGTCTCACATTAACACCTGTTACCCTCCACCTTTCCTTCACGCATCCTGCCATCCTTCTTCAAACATCCTTCCTTTTTTTTTTTTTTTACATGAATCTCTTCTGCTTTTCAGAGACAGGCCAAATACACGGAGAACAGGCTGAAAGCCATGAAGGCCAGGAATGAGTACCTGCTGGCACTGGAGGCCACCAACAGCTGCGTCTTCAAATATTACATCCATGACCTCTCCGACATCATTGATGTGAGTGGAAACGAGCTGTAACCCTGTGATACGAGCCGGTGTGTGTCCTTCGTTCCTCTGCTTAGAGCTTGTGCTGTCCCCTGGGTCCGTCTCTTCACATTAGCCTCAGTGGCTCTAATGAAGGCGGCAAAGCGGCCGTCCTTTGTCCGTGTGTCACTTTTGTTTCCAAAGGCTTCATGCCATGAGCGCCAACAGCTTCTTTATTAGCATTTATGTAGTTTTCTCTCTGAGCTGAGACACACGGGGTACAGAAGTGTAACAAAGTCTTGTATAAAAGCTTAGAGAGACTCTGATGGTTTATAGGTGAATGCTTTAATAGATTATTAGAGCGCAGAGCTGCGCCATAAACGCGACATAAAATGAAGGAAAATATTTTCTCCCCGACTTTATCCCCTACCCCATTATCTAAATGTAGTTTTTCTTTCCTTGCTGTTTTTCTTTTGTCTTGAATTCCTCATGTGCTTACTTTTTGTCAAGATCATTATTTTTTGGAAATTTTATTGCCTACCAGGAATGGGTGACAATAGTTGAATAAACTTTTGGCTTTTAAAATGGTATCGGTGCCCTATTTGTTGGTACTCACTGATACCGATACCACTATTCTAGTACCCGATACTTGTGTCTCTATCGGTGCAACACTAATTTTTGTGTTCTTCCAACAATCCTCTCATCCCTACCCCCAATAAAAAAAAAAAAGCATCCCCACTGCATGATGCTACCACTACCATGTTTCCCCATGTAATCAGTTAGGATATGCTGCATTAGTTTCTGCATATCTGGTCAAATACATTTATCCGTGCAGTAAGCCAGCATTATATCAACACTGTGATGCACTGTGTCACAAAGCCTCTGGTTGAATGAAAGTAATAAATAATAGTTATTCTAGAATAAAAGTTTTGCAGAACTCAGCATGTGTTGATAATTTTTCCTGTGTATTAGCTTACAAACACTGATCTACGACGGAGTATTAGGGCCACACATGAAGAGAAAAAATATTTTTGCCATGACGAGATTAAACTCGACATGTCAACTTTAAAAGTCGACATGCCGACATTAAACTCAACATTTCGAGAATAAAGTTGAAATGTCATGTTGAGTTTAATCTTGACGTGTCAACTTTAAACTCGCCATTTCGAGAATAAAGTTGAAATGTCATGTTGAGTTTAATCTTGACGTGTCAACTTTAAACTCGCCATTTCGAGAATAAAGTTGAAATGTCAT